CAGGGCTTCTGGACAGGTCACTCTTCCTTTTTAGGCCTGGCAGAGTGCTGGGACCCACAGGCGTGCAGACCTGAAAGAAACTGGAAAAAAATTAGCCAAAAGACTGGAGCAGACGTCTGTGAGACACAAACACAGAGGAGAGAATAGGCACCCAGACAAGTGCCCCACATCAGCTAGACTTACTTAGAAGTACACATGCCTGAAAGATCCAAGAGGCCTTGTCGATAAGCTTTATTAACATGATAACTTGATTTTTAAAATTGTTTATTCCCTTTCTGTGAAAATGACTCAATTTTTTTTTCAGCAAAAAGACATACTTAAAATTTTAAAGTTAAAGGGAGTAACTAATAACTTTTAAAATATGTCCCACATGTGGACCAGACATGAAATAGTTTTTACAATGCAATGCCAAAACACTGCATTTTTCAATAATGAATCACCAACTCTTTTTTTTTTTTTTTTGGAGAGGTTTTTTTGCTATAGGGCGCGTGCGTTCGCCAGACAGACAGAGAGAGACATAGAGACAGAAAGCGAGAAATCACCCCCAGGGGGGATGGTCACGCCGCAATCTCTTCTCCTCCATTCTCCTCTCGGGATCTTGGGCACGCATGCACATGCGCCCGGCGTGAGTTTTAAGCCACCAGGTCCGGGATGCAAACCGCGGTCTACTACGTGGGAGTCCAGCGACATAGCCATTACGCTAACTGCTGGTTCCCATGAATCACCAACTCTTCATCACTGTGTTAAAACTTGACTTTTAAGAAGGAAATTTCAAAACTGTAATTATAGCTCACAGAAGCAAAAAGGTCAAAAAGTGATGTCTATTCAGACTAATGAGGTTTCTAATTGAACCAATAAAGCATATGGGGAGGTTGTTTTTCTCTATATCAAAAAACTACATACATAAGCCAATATCATCAGTTCAAAATTATCAATGCCACATACTAATATGCTATCAAAACAGGTGTCAAGCTTTTAGACAACAGAATTGTACATGAAAGGCTAAAAGAAGGATTTCTAGGAAAGTAAATATGTAAGATGTTGGAAATGCATGAAAATATTTCTTGAAACTAAGAAGTAAAAATGCTATAAACCATTTCCATTTCAGTGACTTTACATTTAGTAACGCAAAATCACTTCTGGATTGAAATGGTCTCTTCATCTCATTGCTTCAATCAATGAATCCTACCAAATATGTCTTTAGTACAAACTAGGAAAAATCATAATCCTTAAGTGATTCATTGCACAAAGCTATAACTTACTACTCCTTTACTTGTTAGAACTCATTTTTACTTGGATTTGTATTCTACTTTTGTGTAATGTTACAGCTTTGCTATTATTCCCAAGCAAAAAAAGTGAGTGAGCACAGGTCACTGAAAAGTGATCTGAAACACTGAAAAAAAAAAAGTGAGTGAGCACAGCTCACTGAAAAGTGATCTGAAACACTGGACATAAATTAGAATTTATTGAAGTCATAAGATGTAAGTATTGATGATTTAAATTTTTCAGGGTGGGAAGTTTAGATATTCTATAGTACCCAAATTGTTGGACTTTCCTTTTATTTTTGAGATTTTTTTGCAATAGTGCATGTGTGCTCGTGGGATTGGGGAGATAGAGAAAGTGAGAAATCATCCTCCATGGGGGATGGCCATGCCATGATCCCTTCTCCTCCATTCTCCTGTAAGGATTTTGGGCATGCATGCACAAGAACTTGGTGTGTTTTTTGAGTCACTAGATCTGGAACTCATATCACAGAGTTGATCATGTATAATCTAATGCCTTAACCTCCACACCATCTGCTGGCCCAGGACCTTGTATTGTTTATGTCATGTTATTCCATACTTTGATCATATTAGGTAACCTTTTCTAATTTCCAAATGTACCCTGTATTAGTCAAAACAAGAAATAACAACCAGTTTCTGTGGAAAACAACTACCAAATCTCAATAGCCTATCATCTATGTTGGTTTAAAATTTTTCATAATCAAGGGTACCTTATGACAGGGCCACCTTACAATATAGACTGTATGGTGATTACAGAAGGAAATGAGTGTGGACAAACACAGAGAGATGAAAGATGAATCTGAACCCCTACCCCTCACCTCTGACAAAAACTAAGTCAAGGTGGATCAAAGATCAAAATCTAAGACCACAAACTATAAAACTGCTCCTAGAAAACACGGGG